GGGAGGGGGTGACTTTTTGTTCCAGCCATTAACGTGGGTACTATGGTCCTTAAGTGGTGATTTATAATGTTCCTAATGGCAGGGCACATAGCTGGGGCTGAGTGAGGATTAGATACAACACAGCGGGCTCCGTAAGCAGCTAAAAAATCATTGACCAGGGAAAAGTTAGGTACAGGGTGACCTGATTTTCTAGAGAACAGCATGACAAGGTAGGCCTAGCAGAGGGAGGAAATCAAGGGCCAGGCTGGATGACAGAGTAAATACAGAATGGATTAAGCGGCAGCTGCCTGTGAGGGGTGAGGTCTGTCCATCTTACAGCACTGTCCCAGCTATCTGCATTTCCAGCACCACTCAGAGCCTCTGATCTAATCAATAAGACCGCCACTGGTATTCTTGTTGTGTTATTATTATTTTAGTGCCAGGAAATCAGAGCATAATAGTAACAAAAATATTTCACATACAGGGGGTAGATAGCCTCAGGAATAAAAGACATTAATTAAATTAGGTTATATCCAGGAAACCCAAGCCACTGGCTGGTGCATGATGACAGAGGCACACTTCCATTTGCATTATCAGTTGTCCAGGAGGGAAAAGAAGAGCTGCCCCAATAACAAACGGCTTACCAATAGACAGCCTTGCCTATAGGCAGATCTCAAGCTGCGGCTCCTTTGCTGGGTCCGAGACTTTGGGCTGAATTAAAAGCTCCCTAAATGCTGACAGAATAAACATGTGTTTGCATAATTGATCCAACCACGAGTAAATGTAAGACCTATGTTTCTCAGCGTTGCTCCCAAAGCCGTCCCTTCTGTCCGGTCTGACAGCTCTGTCTGTCACTGTCGCTGTCTCCAGCCCACTCCTACCACTCTTAACCGTCCCCTTTCCTCTTCAGATTACTGCACGGAGCTGGAAGCCAGCCTCTGCCTACTCTCCAGTCTCCTTGTGATAGTATGACATATCATTGTGTTTTCCTACCACAGATCCTGGATTGCAACTCCCATAATAACCCTTGTTATTTTCCTGAATGATAGAACAATGAGCATGTGTTTTGTTGAAGCATACTAACTGGCATCTCATCCTTAGGGGCTGAAGCGGGTTTTTTTTTTTTTTTTTTTTACAGTATAGAGGGTAGTTTGGGACCCCAGAAGTGACCCACAGAGCAATCTCTTTCTCTCTAACTTACTCCTTTTTCTCTGCAAGGTGAGCCACAGAAGTTAGAATTTCTCTCCGCCAAAGAGAATCCCAGGCCTTCTGCCTCGGAACCAGCCATACAGAAATCCTCCAACAACGGGCCAATGGACACTTATTTCAGAAGGGCCATTCCCTAAGCCCTGGAGGAAGGAATGCTGCTCAGTGAAGTCAGGGAGAGTCTGGACACGCACCCCTGCCAGGCTCCCCTCTGTGTCTGTTAGCATTAGCTCCCACTTTCTGTATCTGACCACCTCCCCACACTGGCATCCCTATTTCAGTCCCACTTATTCAAAGAAATCTTTACAAAACCCCAAAGGATAAGATTGGGGGAACTTCTCATCAGCTGAACACACTGAGACTTCCAGGGAGATGAACAAAAATGCATTTAGGTGACGAGACAGCAGCCCATCCCAACTCCAGGATGACATCTTGTGCTCAGGATGCTTCTTGACTTTTATCCCGTGTCTCTTCATCTGGCTGCTTATTTGTATCCTTGAAAGTAATTTTACAATAAAGCAGTAAATGTCTTTCCCTGAGTCCTTTGAGCCTCTCGAGCAAATTAACCAACCCAAAGAAGGGGTCACAAGAACCTCAATCTGTAGCCAGTTGGTCAGAAGTACGAAAGGCCTGGGCTTGCAGTTGGTACCTCAGCTGGGGACAGTCTTGGAGCATGAGCCCATAGTCTGGGGGGTCTGCTGCTATCACCAGACTGATAGCATTGGAACTGAACTGACTTAGAGGACCTCCTGCTAACATCTGCTCCAGGAGTCATTACTGCTGGCCAGTGGAGGGAAAACCTTGCACATTTTGAGTCATAGAAGGATCTGTGTTTCGAGCATGTCATGTGTGAAACTGAGTTTAAGGTTTGTTTTCCTTTATAATGCCAGACCCCTACAATTCATTCTCCCCACACTACAGAGTCTTATATTTGTAACTTATTCTAGAACCATGTTTTGGGGGAAGGGCTCTGGA